TTGATGACGATGCGATGGGGTGATCATGATGATGCTGATGATGAAGCTGCTTCTGCTGCTGCTGCTTATGATGCTGATGATGATGCTGCTTCAGGTGATGATGCTGATGAGGATGATGACGATGACGATAACGATGACGATAACGATGCTGATGCTATTGTTGGTGATGATGATGGTGTTGGTGGTGGTGATGCTGATGTCGCTGATGCTGATGCTGATTATGATTATGATGATGATGATGATGATGATGATGATGATGATGATGATGATGATGATGATGATGATGATGATGATGATGATGATGATGATGATGATGATGAGATCAGGAGGAGGATGAGGAGGAGGAGGAGGGAGAAGGAGGGCGGAAGAGGAGGAGGAGGAGGATGAGATGAGGAGAGGATGAGGATGAGGAGGATGAGGATGGAGGAGGAGGAGGAGGAGGGACAAGGAGGAGGAAGGAGGAGGAGGAGGAGGAGGAGAAGTTGGAGGAGGGGGAGGAGGGGGAAGGACAGGGGAGGAGGGGGAGGACGAGGAGGAGGAGGACAAGGAGGGAGGATGAGGATGAGGAGGAGGGAGGAGGAGGTGGAGGAGGAGGAGAAGTTGGAGGAGGGGGAGGAGGGGAAGGAGGTGGAGGACGAGGAGGAGGAGGACAAGGGAGGAGGATGAGGATGAGGAGGAGGAGGAGGAGGAGGAGGAGGAGGAGATGGAGGAGGAGAAGGAGGAGGAGGAGGAAGAGGAGGCGGAAGAGGAGGAGGAGGAGGAGGAAGAGGAGGAGGTGGTGGTGGAGGAGAAGGAGGAGGAGGAGGAGGAGGAGGGGGAGGTGGGGGAGACGGAGGGATGGAGGCTGGGAGGAAGGGAGAGAGAGGGATGGAGGGAGGGAGAGATAGGGAGAGAGAGGGAGGGAGGGAGGGAGCGAGGGAGGGAGGACGGAAGAAGGAAAGGATGGTGATGATGATGATGATGCTGCTGCTGATGATGATGATGCTGATGATGGTGATATGGTGATGGTGATGGTGATGGTGATGGTGATGATGATGAACATGAGGATGAGGATGATGATGACGACGACGACGTTGGTGTTAAGAACGGTGACAATGTGGGGGAGAGGGAGGAGGGAAAGGAGGCGAGGAATGGAGAGGAGGGGGAAGGAGGGTAGGGACAGTCGGAGAGGAATGGAGGAAGAAGGGTGGAGGAGGAGAGCCGGAGACAGCCCCCCCCCCTCTCCCTTGAAGCCCCGCATGCTGTACTTATCCTCCTCCGGACTGGCAGGGTAGAGCCGTTGCGCGATACCCCCACTTGCTTTGTTGGAGCCCTTCTTTACGGTTTCTGAGGGTCTTCTTGCTTGTGCTGCTTGCCCTTAGGTTCGAACTGTATCGTCACACAGTCCCTTGCCAACGAGATAGAGAAGAACAAGAGAGATTACGAGGACGATCATGAGTCGGCGGACGGGAGGGAGGCGGAGGCGGGAAAGGACGTAGAAGTGGAAAAGGAGGGTGATGAGACGGATGACAATGAGGATGTGGAAGAGGAGGGGGACAATGGATAAAGACAGGAATGACGGTACGGAGGAGACGAGAAGGTGAACAAGGAAAACAATGAGGATGGCACGCGTGACGATGATTATATTGACGATTGCGATTATTCGGATGATGGTGTTGATTGAGATTGTGATTGTGATCGTGATTGCGGAGGATGTCGATGCTGACGATGATGTTGCGCTGTTGACGATGCATCTGATGACGATGATGTCGATGATGATTCGGCTGCTGCCAATGAGGCTAATCATGCTGCTGATGCTGATGGTGGTGGTTATGCTGTTGAAGGAGATGGAGAAGGAGAAGGAGGAGAAAGAGGAGGATGATGATGATGATGAGGAGGAGGAGGAGGGGGAGGGGACGATGAGGATGATGATGATGATGATGATGATGATGATGATGATGATGATGATGATGATGATGATGATGATGATGATGATGATGATGATGATGATGATGATGATGATGATGATGATGATGATGATGCCGATGATGATATGGTGGTGGTGATGATGATGATGATGATGATGATGATGATGAGGAGGAGGAGGAGCAGGAGGAGGAGGAGGAGGAGGGGGAGGCCGATGAGGGGGCGCGTGGCGTTACGCGTCGGGCGCTGACCTCTTGGACCATCCTGGACCGCACAGCTCTGCAAGCTCGCGCCGTCTCGTTCCAAAAGGGCTGCGGACCGGGACCTCCGATGACTAGACTTTCTCGAGTCGCGAGCCCCTTGGGCTCTCGACCCCTTCGTGGCGAGTAGTTATCTGACGGTCACAGGGCCTGGAAATGGTCCCAGGACGCTTGAAATGAGGACACCCCACCCAGACTCGTTTTTTTTCGATGTGGATTGGGTGAGGAGGAGGATGAGGAGGAGGAAGATGAGGATTGGATTGGACACGAATGGACAACCCCCCACCAATCAAGGTAGTGCATCAGCTCCCTGACAGGCAGGCATGAGGAGGACTGGGTAGACCCTTCGAGGCCTCTGGCTCAAGCACGGTGGCTCAAGGCTCAGGGCTCCCGAAGGCCCCCGACCAGGAGCCCTGCCAAGGGTGGGGTGCCGTCTTCTCCCACTCTCTGCACCATCTTCCGCTCGTTTTCCGGCCGCCCTCAGTCCGGCGGCATGGCGTGCAGGCATGCGGCCTGCCCGTTCTTCGGCGCACTCCCGGCAAGTGCCGACGAGCAGGGCCGATGCAGGCGCTGCGGCCAGGCGCTACCCGGCGCTGATGCTGCCGCCGCTACGGCGGCTGGGCCGCCGCTGCCGCCAGGGCTTTCAGCTCCAGGGGCTGGTGCTGCGCCGGCGGCGATCCCCAGCATGACGGCTAGCGACATAATGAGCACCGAGGCCAGCGGCACCGGCGCCACGCAGGGCATGGCAGCCCTGCAGGTGGAGGCGACTACGGGTTCCGAGATGTACCAGCTGGATGCCATCGAGGTCGACGACGAGGACATCAGGAGGACGGTTGCCGCTGCTGCTGCTGCTGCCGTGCCCGCTGCGGCATCTCCTATCCCGGCTGCGTGGCTCCAGGATTTTGCGGATGATGAGATACTCCGCCACGCCCAGTTGATTCAGGCGAGTACCTTGACACAGCCAACCGACATCCAGAGCTTCCCCATCCAGATACCGGATTCTTGGGACACCCTTCGCAAGATACTCATGAAGCTCGCCTTCAATTCTTCAACATCGAACCCTTGGAACGTGCTCGGGTTTGGTCCCCTGGACGGCCCGGAGCCTACGGAGCAGTGCATCGCCACCCGCACGCGTACCGCGACTACTTTATGTTCTTTTGCTTCTACGTCTTCTTGGACGCAGTCGGATAAGGATAGTGCGGCCACGGCCGCAGCGATCTTCGCTGCGGCTGGCACCCGGTGCGCGGAGCAGCTTCCAGAGATTCTCCGTGAACGCCGCCGGCTTCGCCCTTCGAAGCTCCCACGGTGGAAGGAGCTGGGGGAATCCGCTTTGATGGCCGTCCGTTCGATCCCTGCCTGCACCCACGCTATGGTGGCGACTCAGTGGTCTCAGCTCCTGAACGTCTCCTCTCAGGACCATTCGGCGACGGTCGCACAGCATCGGCACTTCGCGGACATGCTGGAGAAGGGAGACACGCAGGCGCTAGGGATGATGGGAGGTCAGCGGGTACTCGCTTGGGCGCCATCCGATTCGAACGCGCTCACGAGGCTCATGGCCGCCTTACTTCGACAGGCTGATCCGCAGCTGCGTCCAGTGAGCCTCACGCTCGTGGCGCCGATCCCCCACTTCCCTGGGGTGAGTACTCCCGAAGAGTTGTTTGATCTATGGTGGCACCCCCTTCTTGGGCAGAAGCCCGAGTACGCCGCTCTGGTGCGCAACGTGGACCTCATCTTGCAGCCGGTGGAATACGTCCTTCCAGGCCGCTCCGCTCCACGACATGTCCGTCAAGGTCTGGCGTGCTTTACGATATCGCTAGAGGGCGCCCGCACGACCCCTGCCATCCTGTCCCCGCTGGCGCCGCTAGTGCAGGTCTCCGCGGTAAACTCCCTCTGGGTTGACATCCCCGCTGAGCTCCTGTCCACGTTCCTGTCCAGGATGGCGGGCCCGGAGGTTCGTTCCAATCCTGTGCCGTTGCTGTGCCGACAACCCCGGAGGAGCTTGGGCAACTTACCGGAGATGCGTCGTGTGGTCGTGGAGGTCCTCCTTCCCAGCCATATTTCGGAGGTCTCCACCGAGCTCGTCATTCGATTTCTACGGCGCCAGGTGCTGACCCCGCAGATGTACATCGGCCGTAAGGATCTCTACACCTGCCCGGACGCTAAGATCATGGAGTGCCACGGGCCGCTCGCCATGCGCCACGTCTGGCCCCTTTGCTCTCAAGCGCTCTACCTCTCTTCTGATAGGGTGCTCCTCCACACATCGGCTTCTGCAGAGACGTGGGTCGAGTTACTCGACAAGATCCTCCGCGAAGACGCGGACCACGCCGTTACCACGCTAAAGCACAAGGCCCGACGCTGCGGTGGCCGCCCTTGGGTGATCCCCACGGCCACCTCGACGGCACTCGCCGCCTCGCGCCGGCGGAGGGGCCGCCCCAAAGGGGATCAATCTCTGACGAACTACGTCACGGAGATCCGCGTGAAAGGGAAGTTCGGGGACACCGACGGGACCCTGATCCAACGGCTGATTACGCATGCTTGCACGAAGGCAGGCCTGGAGTTGCGGCCTACTGCTCCGGATCAAGCCCCGCAGCCAGGACAATGGGTGCACCTCGCTTCTCGGGATGCAGCTGCGCCTCCTGGTCGCGCTCGCCTGTTTCTTAGTTCTCCCGACGAGGTTCGGAAGGTGTTCAACGCGCTCCATGGACAGGTTATGCAAGTGGGAGTCGACTGCTTGGCCATCACTGTTACCAACGACCTCTACCATTCTGAGCCCATCTCGGGAAACAGGCGGCGGGGGGGGCAGGGGGCTGCCTCCCCCGCGGCCGCGTAGCGAACAACGACGCGGATGCTTTTGGAATTCAGATTTTTACGTGCATGGGCTCTACCTTCTGGCTTGTGGACGTCGCCTCCGAGCTCCGCTTGGGTACCCCAGGACCGAGCTCCCTGTGCTGCGGCCAGTCCAGCAATTCGCAGCCTTCTCCTTCGTCTCGTACCTCTTCGTCTTTCGCTTGTACGTCGTCATGCCGGCTTTTACCTCGTCTTCCTGCTTTTCCACTTGATCAGCTACTTCAATGTGACCCGGGCCTTCTGGCTCCAATGCCAGCTCACTCGCAGACAGATGTGCCGTACCAGATCCAGCTGCAGAATCAGATCCGCCACGATTTTGGACACGGCGTTCTACCTGCGCCGCCAGCTCCTCGCACGCCCACCTGCCCGTGCTCTCCGGCCAGACGTCGACGCCGGCCCCGTCTCCAGGACAGTCCGTACCTAGGGGATTTCTCTGCCGTCACTTGCAACTGCCAGGCTTTATTGGCCTCGGATGCAGGTCGCCATCGGATCAAGTCGTACAATGTACGAAGGCTTATGGCGGACCACGATATTGGCCTATGGACAGAGACGCATGGCACCGCTGGCGGCAACGCTGTTTGGCGGAATCCCTCAGACTGCACTTCCTGGTGGGCCCCCGGCCCATAGCGGGCAGCGCGGGGGTGGGAGTGACTATTCAGAACAAGTTCCTTTCCAAGTTCTCCGCGCGGCCGCGATGGCATATTCTGCTTCCCGGCCGCGCCGCTGTCCTTCGTCTGCGCGGTGCGGAGGGTCGCTTGGACATCATTGTCGCGTACTTTCACACTGGCAGTACCCCCTCCCAGGAGGACATCGACGCGGCAGGTCTTTCCCATCTTGGCCGGGTTCCCAGTTTCGTGGAACTCCGAGATGCTCTGCGCCGGCGCATCGCGCAGCACATCTTGCCCAAGGATCGGGTGCTCACACTGCTTGGGGGCGACTTCAATTACGCGGCCGCTCCCGAAGACCGTCGCTGCGTCAACACTGGTGTTGCGACGGGCGCGAGGGGCCGTGGGGAGCAGTCGTCTAATTGGCGTCGTCTGGCTGAGCTTCCTCATGGTCTGCATGAGCTTCACCAGCCCGACATGACCTACGCCTCGCCGACCTCCCGCTCCCGCCTCGACAGATTCTATTGCAGCCAGAGCGTCGTGGAGGGTTTCGACCGGAAGATGACATGCGCGGCTTTGGCATGGACGCCCGAGCATTCCAGACACCGGGCAGTGAGTTTTCGCCGCGCTCTACCTAGGCATTCCTCTTTCGAAACCGCGCCGCTGCCCGACGACGTGATGGAGAATCCGGCATGGCCTCATCGAGTGGCATTGGCATGGCAAGATATTTTGGCTGAGGAGGCTCACCCCTCTCCTCTCCGCAGGCTGGTGTGCCTCAAGAAGGCGATGCGGACGGCTGCCCACAACTTGCCATTCTCGGCGTCCCCCCCGGAGGATGCCGCGGCGCTCGAGGACAGAGTTGGTGTCGCCATGAAGTTTCTTCGCTCCTCGGAGGCTGGCTCGGCGACTAGAGTGAGTCAGTGCATTCTCAGGTGCCCGCTCCTCGAAGACCTCGTGGACAACCCGTGCGACTTCGATTCGCCCGTTGGCCGGCGTCTCCGTCTCGTCCGGCAGCACGTTGCGGAGCTTGCGCGTGATCACGCTGTGTCGGAGCTGCGGCAGCTGCGCGAGGACATCAAAGGCCTGTCAGAGGAGCAGGCCACGCGCCGGCGGCAGCGAAACCACCGGCTTCTTACTCGCTTGGCGCCTGGTCGTGGGTGTTCCAATTTTGCGCTCAGGGACAATGCTGGGGCCGTGTCGACCTCCCCGGAGCATCAAGCCCGTGTACTTCGAGAGCATTGGTCTCAAGTATTTCGGCGTCGCGGTGCCGATGGGCATTTTCGACAAGCATGGCTGGCAGATGAGGTTTTGCACGCTACTCCTGAGCAGCTTCACCGCGTTCCTGGCAACATAGTCCCGTTTGAGACCTTCGAAAAGGCAGTCGGCACCACGAACAACAGTTCGCCGGGGCCCGACGGCATTCCTTTCAAAGCATGGCGCAAGCTTGGGCGATTTGCCGCGGAGGCGCTCTATGATGCCTTCTGCTCGATTGCCTGTCCGAGTGGGATTTCTATGTTGGAGGCGGATTGGGAGACATTCAATGAAAGCATGATGGTGTTCCTCCCCAAGAAGCCGTCCGGTTCTACCCCAGAAGGACTGGACATCTTCACTGCGCACAACATGCGGCCCTTGAACATCACCAACGCCGACAACATGATCATTTGCAGTGCGGTACGTATGCACATCGAGCCGGAGGTCGCCCCAGGGATCTCCGAATCCCAGCGCGGGTTCCTTCGCGGCCGGTCAATGCTGGCCAACCTCATGGACATCGAGGAGGCGATGCTCCACAATTCTCTGGTCTACGAGTCCTCGGCGGCGGTGTTTTTCGATTTCGAGGCCGCGTTCCCGATCGTCAGCCAGGAATTCTTGATGGAGGTGATTTCCGCGCGTGGCTGGCCTACGTGGTGCACTTGTTTGGTCCGCGCACTCTATTGGAACAACCGCTGCAATATCGTCGCTGGCGGGGCGAAGTTCGATGGATTTACTCTCACAGCAGGGGTGCGCCAAGGCTGCCCATTATCCCCCCTGCTGTTCGCGGTGCTATGAGATGTTCTTCTTCGGAGACTCGCCCGTCGCGTTCCTGATGCTTTGCCGCGCGCCTATGCCGACGACCTGGCGGTCGTGCTCTCGCACGGGAGGAGAGACGCCCCGATCTTGGAGCACATGTTCGAGGAGTGCGCCCTGCTCTCTGGACTCCGGCTTCGCCACGGCAAGTCGGTATGGGTGCCACTGTCGTTGGGCGACTTAGACCAGGTGCGGATTCAGCTCCACGCGGCGGCCCCCGCCTGGAGCGACTTTACAATCCGTCGTTATGCCACCTACCTGGGTTTTGCTGTGGGGCCAGAGCGCGCGGAGCATTCTTGGACAAAGCCCTTGGACAAATTCGTTACGCGAGCCCGGATCTGGAGAGACATTGGATGTGGCTTGTTGTTGACGCTTCTGGCTTACCGCACATACATATTCCCGGTTCTCGGCTTCGTGCTTCAACTTGACTGGCCCCCCGCTGATTGGGATGACTATGAGCAAAAGGCGTGCGCTATTCTCTTCCCCGGTCCGCGGGGGTGGGCGCCTCCCGCGGCCCTCCGGAGCTTGCGCACCCTCGGCTTCCAGTCCGCGCTCATTGACGCCCGCGCGACTGCGGCGGCGGCGAAGTGCCGGGTCTACCAGTGGGAGAACGTGGCGCACGGCGGCCTCCAAGTTCGCCGACGAACCCGGGCATTGGAGCACGTGCGAGGGAGCTCCGACTACGTGATGCGGCAGGCACGATGGCACGACTGGTACCAGCACAATTTCTTCACCAACCTTGACCAGGCCCACGGGCTGCTTCAGCAGAAGGCGACGAGCGCAGGGCTGACGACGGCTGAGCTGATGCAGGGTGCTGCTGCGGAGCCCCCTCCGCGGAAGCAATGGCAGAAGCGTTGCCGAGTTCTCTTGGAAGACCCGTCCCCGACTGGGGCGGTCCGCCACCTGAGCCGCTGCCTGACTCGCCTGTCCATTCCGCTCTTACCGGGTCGCCGCCTGGAGCGGGCCACCTGTGCCCTCCGCGGATTGGCGCGCCTGGTACGTCCTCGAGTCTGGGCGTCCAGTTTTCGCGCGCTCTGCACCGGCTGGAACACCAGCCACCGCATGCAACGACGCTTGAATTGCGTTTTTGGTTGCGGTGCTGCCGAGGACAGCCTGCGACACTATGCTTTCTGCCCGCGGGTCGCGGATTTTAGCCGGAGGCGGTTGGGCCTCCTTCCTCCTCCTCGTCCTGATCGCTTGTCTAGCTTTATTCTTTTAACCCCTCCGTTCCGCGATGACACGGCCAGTGAACTTGCTCGCCGCGCCCTGGCCGCGTACGCAGTGTACGCTGCTGGAAACGCCGCCCGCCACGGTCAGACTGCCGATGCGCAGGAAGCCTTGGTACAGTATGCGCGCGAGGCTTGCGCGTCACACGCCGGCCTGGCGAACATTGTAGCTGCAGTGTGGAATAGGTAATGGTTCCCCTCTCCTCCCCTCTGCCGGTTTGTCTCGTCGTCGTCGTCCTCCCCCTCCTCCCCCTCCTCCCCTCGGCGCCCGGTGTCCAGGCTTCCCAGGGCTCCCAAGTGGTCCCCTTGGGGCCCCTACCGGGTTCCAAGTGGTACCTTGGGCGGCTCGAAATCCAGCCTGGATTTAACACCGTCTTTCTCCTTGTTGGGGAGGTTGTTGTGTTAATTGCGTGTTGTTTTTCGGTCTCTCTGGGTACCTCTTAGTGCCCGTTTGGGGCCCTCCCTGGGGCCTCTTGGGCCGGCCAGTGAGGTCGTTGGGCGCTCTTCTCGAACCCAGGCTTGCAATCAGTAGCTTCGATCGTGCCACGTGGACCTGGCAATGGCTCGCCGGCGGCCGCCGCCTCGCGATTTCCACACTGGACGTGTGGGCATACGTTTTGTCAATTTGTCCTCCTCGCTTCCTCGGCCTCGTCCTCCTCTTCCTCCTCCCTCCTCCCTCCCTCCTCCCCCCCCCCTGGGCATCGTGGTGTCACTATGTCGGTGCCGGACGTGCCAGCCGTTCGGACGACGAGTCCACGCTGGGCACTCTCAGTGTCGTTTTATGCGAGCGGGCCAGTGTTCCCCTCCTCTCCTCCTCGTCCTCCCGTTCGCCCTCCTCCTGCTTCCTCCTCCTGGTGCTGGGGGGAAATTCGTTACTTTTCTTTGAACTCGGCTTTAGGTGTGTGGCGGCATCCGCGTTTTGAAGCCTGCTCTTGTGGCTTGCGGCCCGCCCCAGCAGAATGTCGGACTTTAAGTTTTCGTGTTAGTGCACGGTGCTCAGAGTCAGATATATAACATCCGGCAGCTCAGGGTTGTGCTCGATAGGAGTTGGATTCCTGACCGAAGTGTTTTAGGAATTCCAGTGGTGCATCTCTGTCGCCTTGCCAGGAAAAAAAAAGACCCTTCGAGGCCTCTAGGGGCACAACATGTGTCCAAGCGTTCGGAAACTTCGATCCCCCTCCCTCCGTCCCTCACTTCTCGGGAGGAGGAGGAGAAGGAGGAGGAGGAGGAGGAGGAGTATGATGATGATGATGATGATGATGATGATGATGATGATGATCAGGATGAGGATGAGGAGGAGGATGATGAGGCTGATGTTGATGATGATGATGATGATGGTGGTGGTGATGATGATGGTGATGTTGTTGATGATGATGAGGATGAGGATGAGGATGGTGATGCTGATGACAATGATGATGATGACCAGGATGATGATGCTGCTGCTGCTGATGATGATGATGATGATGATGGTGGTGGTGGTGGTGGTCATGATGATGCTGATGATGCTGCTGCTGATGATGGTGATGATGATGATGATGATGAGGAGGAGGAGGAGGAGGAGGAGGAGGAGGAAGAGGAGGAGGAGGAGAGTTCGACTGTGATTCGACTGGCCTGATCAACCCTACAGGGAGCACGACTCCAGGGCCGACGATGTGGAGGACGCTCACCACCAGGTCTTTCCTGGGCGATGAGGGCGGCCTCAAATTGGCATGTCTTGCAAGCCTTGCGCTCTGAAACTGAGGTTTTTGGTTCCAACTACTCTCCCCGAAGTTGTGGCGAACACAAGCTTTGTAACTGATGACCGCCTGTGCCGCCCTGATTCCAGCGCTGTAGCTGACATCAGGCTCCAGCTTCGCCTTCCTCATCGCGCAGAGTGGCGACAGTGATGGCTGCCGCTGCTCGCCTTCTCGCACGACTTCGCATTTTAGCTGACATCGGGTTCTCGCTTCGCCTTCCCCAGTTTGCCTTCTACGCCCTGATCCCCGAACTGTAGCTGATGATCTGGGGCTCCAGCTTCGTCAGCTTCCCTTCGGCGCCAGATACGGCGGCCATGGTTTGCCTTCCCGCAGCTTCGCCTCCCACTTCTCGCACTGCTCGTCTCTCTCACGTCCTTGTGCCCCAGTGTTGTAGGTGATGGCGGATGGCTCCAGTTTCGTCTCCCAGAGCTCGCCCTTCGCGCACGCGCTGGTTTTTACAGTGTGGCTGCTGACGACTTTGGCCTCCAGCTTAGCCTCCCGCTTCTCGCAAGATGGTTGTGGAGCCGCCGGTCGCTGTTTATTGTCGCGCACCTGGATATCAACGCTGCGGCTGATGAAATTGGGCTCTAGCTTCGCCTCCGTTATTTCGGCGAGTAGCGCAAGAGCCTGCTGCAACTGCTCCCTCTTCTCGCGCGCGCTACTGCCAGCACTGTTTCTGACGATCTCAGGCTCCAGCTTCGCCGCCAGCTTGTCGTTGGGTGGTGCCAGTGCCGCCTGCTGCCATTGCCCCTTCTCGCACGCCCTGATGTCAGCACTGTAGCTGCCGACGTCGGGCGCTGGCTTCGCCTTCCAGCTGCTGCCGTCGGGCTCCAGCTTCGCGGTCCACGCCCTGATTCCAATTTTGTCAGCCAATTGCCACTGCCTCTCTTCTTGCACGGCTGCTATGTCGCTTCATGCCGTCGGCACTGAGCCAATCCCAGCGTTGTAGCTGGTGGTTGGCTCACACTCCGTTTTCTCGCAACGACTGCGTGCACTGTCATTGTCCACCCTCTCGCATGAGCTGATCCGAGCGCTATAGCTGATGATTGGCTCTCGCCCCGCTGTGTCGCAATGACTGTTTGCACTTTCACTGCCCCCCTTCTCGCATGAGCTGATCCCAACGTTGTAGCTAAGATTGTCTCTCGCACCGCTTCTTTGCAATGATTGCATACTCTGTCATTGCCCACCTCGCACGAGCTGACCCCAGTTTTGTAGCTGATACTTGTCTCGTGCCTCGCTATCTGTCTCGCACGAACTGATTCCTGTGTTGTAGCATAGGATATTCGCCCGCACTTTCTCGCGCGAACTAGCTCCAGCACTGCAGCTGCTAACGTCGGTTATCACGTTTCCGCATGGTTTGATTTATTATTTACACATATATATATATATATATATTGAGTATATATATACACATACCGATTCATTTTATTTTAAGAGGGAGAGTGGGTCGCCTTGGGGTGGTGGTGCGCAAGTCCGTGGATGGCGGGGCGAGGGCGGCGGGGCAAGAGAGGACCGGAGCGGCGCGAGGAGGGTGCCGCCGTCCCCCCGCGCACGTCGGTGGGCCGAGCCCCAGCCTTCGGAGGTGATGACGCTGGGGCCCACCGCTCTGGATGGCTCGTGGGGGCACGAGCACTTCTAAGTTTGTCGTCTATAATATGGGACCCCCCTGCCCGACAGAAATAGCTAGGAGGAGGCGGAGGAGGAGGAGGAGGAGGAGGAGGAGGAGGAGGAGGAGGAGGAGGAGGAGGAGGAGGAGGAGGAGGAGGAGGAGGACCAGAGGCGTCGGTGCCAGGGGTCGGGGACCCTCCCGAGCCGCTCTCAGGAGGGCCTGTACCTCACGAAGCTCACCAGCGAGTCCAGCGCAGCCGCGCGCTGCAACCTGCTGAGGAAGCTGCGTGCGCGGGCCTGCATGGAGGACGCCCCCCCCCCCCCCCCCGCAGGGCAGGCCCTCGAGGGCGAGGGCCGCAGGCCGCGGAGCGGAGCGGGCCCACGCCCGCCCGCCCCGCCGCGCGCGCGCAGCCGCAGAGAGCGCGGGGCGCCACAGAGGGAACGCCAAGGTGAGAGCGCCGCCCCGGGCGCCACCCGCCCCGGCGGGGCTTCCCAGCGGCCCTCGCGCCTCCGCAGACGCTCGGTGCGCCTTCGGGGAGGGCGCAGGCCCCTCTCAGAGGGCCCGAGGCCTCCTCTGAGCCTTCCGGGGAAGGCCCGTCCCCTCTCGGCCTCCCCCTTCGGCGCGCCGCCCACAAACACCCTGGCGCCTTTGGCGCTGCCTCCAGCGCGCTTCGCGCGCCGGGGTGCGGGGGTGTGTTGCGGGGGGGTCCGAGGTCCCAGTCCTCCGACCGGTCCTTTCTGCTGATCTGCGCCCTCTTTCTCCTCCTCTATCCTCCTCCTGGTTCCTCCTTTTTCCTTGTGCCACTCGGGGAAGTCGCCCACGCACAATCCTCTTCGTCCTCCTCCTCCTCCTTGTCCTTCTCCTCCTTCTTCTTCTCCTCCTTCTCGTTTCCCTCCTCCTGGTCCTCGTCGTTATCCTCCTCCTTTTCATTGATGTTGCGCGGACTTAAGGCAGCAGCATGGAGCGTTATCTTTTACACCATTACACCATTCAAGGTCTGCTTCGAGTATGCTCACAAGCAGGCAGAGAGAGAGAGAGAGAGGCGGCCTCGACGTCGCAGTTCAGGGGATGCCTTCCTTGAGGCACAACAGAAGCCTGGACCGTGAGGCGCCTGAAACAAAGGGGACCGAGGGGGCCTGGATGGGCCATGGGTCTGAGATCCTGTGCGGAGACCCTGCCCCTGCACCCTTCCACAACTTCTTGAGGGCCTTCATAGAGGAGGGGGTAGGGTGGCACGGCCCCTTAAGCTTCACAGCTCTCGTGGCGCTCATATACCCACGCCTCCCTCAAGCAATTCGAGGCACCTCTGACTTGACGATGATGGCAGCCCACGGGGAGTGAGGACATCCAGGCCTCGCAGCCGAGATGCCCAACTCCCGAAGGGACGGGCACAAGTCAAAGCACCTGGAATTGGCCAGCGGACGCGCTCCAGTCCTGCGGCATCGCCTGCGCCTCCATCGGACTCCCACCCCCACGGGGTCGTGAGGCCCGGGAGGGGCAGGGAAAGCACGGGCCCCGTGCGGCCTCGAACGGGCACCACAGAGGTCCTTCAAGGGAGGCCGTTCCACAAGGATCTGGAGCATATTGATTGCCACCTTCTCATACAGCTTTCATGCATCTACGAAGGCTTTCAAATCTGCAGCACGCATAATGTTGGATCTGGCCGCCACCTTGGCATGCTGGTCGGCTAAACTAGTGCCTCTGATGCTGTAGAGGTCTTCAGCACAGGTGGCCTGCTCTTCTTGTCGGTGAGCCTTCACTTTAACTCACAGGAAAGAGGGCTCGCCAGATATTCGCCAGTACCCAGCGTGTGGCGAGTGGCGCTTGGCCATCATGTAGTTAGTGGCTTCCCACACTACAGCCGAGCAATCTGAACGGAGGGCGGTGCCGAGACAGGCTGCGATCAAAGAAGGATCCTGGACGGGTTTCAGAGGGTCGGGGGGCTCCAAGAACCTCTGAACCATACAGGTGGTGGCACGGTGTTCGGCGGCCGAGGATGTCTGCGGGATCCCGTCTGGCACAGGCCCACACATTCCCTTGATGGAGACCCCTCGGCCGACGCTTCAACCAAAGCCCAGCCCGCTCGAGCAACCCCTGGAACAGCCCCGTCATAGCAGCTCCTGTCCCTGTAATGGCGCCTTCCTGCCCTGCTGGAGACAAACGGCTCACCATCGTCGTTGTAATCAAACAACAGGACCTCAGGCTCCTCCTTGGGCTTTTCGGTGACGAGAGGGGTGGCCATCCAAAGGGAAGAGAAGAGGGGGTGTCCTTTCCCGTGGTGGAGGGCCATGGTCCTAATTTCCTCGTCCTGGCCTTCGCGCTCGGCCTGAGAACTTGGACACTCCCAGGTGCGATGGAACATCGAATCGGGTCTCCCACATCTCGGGCAGTCTCAATCGGTCGGACCCCCCCATGTTTGGAGAGTTCGGCCTGTGGGATACCGGCCCGTAAAAACTTGAGCAAGTAAACCTTTACATTTCTTGTGATTCGGAAGCGTCTTGCTGGTAAGCAACCTGCGCGGACCCGGGGACCACAAGCCTTGCTTGCGGATCTCCAGGGCTCTGGGATCGGTAGATTCCGCAAGAGGCCTGGCCACCGCAGGCTGCACAGCACGTTTCCTCAAGTCCTGGATAACAATTCTCTACTATCTGCTTAGGCGGGGTGGTCAGATGATGATGCGTACCATCCGCTACCACAAAAATTGCAGGATTCACAGCCTCCCAGCCTGCCTCCTTCATCCACAAGTGCATGTCGGAAAAGGGGTCCCGTGACTTTCTTCCTCCAGCAGGCCTAATTTAGTACATCTTTGAGCTTACCAATAGTAAGATGGAAACATCTGGATACTTCCTGCACCGTGAGTGTATCTCCTTGCAGTCGATCCCGATCAGATGCCTGCCACTATTCCTTCGCATAACGTTGAAGTGTATCAGCTGCCTTGGATTTCGGGTCCTTGTTGGGGTATCGAGTCCAGCCAGCATCAAGAGCACCGCCCAAGAAGCCCAAGGCCCTGGCTCCAGCACGTGTCAAGACCAATATCTCCGATGGTGAATTGCCTACCACCTCGCCTCCATATGTAGCTGAAGCTTGGATTTCTGCTTCCGCATGCGATGTTTGATGACTGCGAGCATGTTCCTTCTCACGCGTCCGTGTCCAGCCTTGGCCCGATGAGACCCTGTTGAATAATCCGCACCCAAGCTACTCACCGCCACCTGCGTCCTCCATGCCAGGTCTCCCAGGGAAGCTTTACAGGCAACAACTAAAAGTCTGGTCGTCCCAGTACATGTGAACTTATCAAACGCCAGCGACACCGCCTTCTGGTACTTGGTCTGCACACAGTTATAGAAAGACGGGGTTGCCGCATTCAGTCCAACATCGTCGATGTGCAGCGTGATCGTGCTCAAACCCACATCTGCCACCTCCTCCATATCATGTTCATGTCACGCATTGACACACGGTATTGCGTACGATTCCGCCTCGAATGTAGCCGTCGCCGTTCCTGCAATAACGCCTCGATGTGCACATATCGGATCCGAAATCAAACCATCCAATGCAATCCGCCTCGGCCACTTGTACGTGTTCAAACTGTATTGGGTAGCTGCTATAGGATACTCAACGCCGCATACGTTCGTGTTGGACATGGTCGTAGAATTGCCTGAGATCCCACAGCACTGAACGGATCTGGTAGCCGTCACCTGCCAGTGCTTCTCCTCGCGTCGCTTGCCTCCACACTGCATCAAGAGGCCCACGACCAGGCCCCATGCTGAACGAAGGGTGATCAGCCACACTTCGCTCCCACTTTCTTGATTTTCCCATGCAAGCAGTCTCTCATGAAGTCGAACCGTACCTGTGAAGAAACCGATGGGCCGTCTACTTTTCTTTGTGGTTTCCTGAACGAAGCCAAGATAACCTGCTGGAGCGGCGTCGGTGCATTGGCCACCATGTTCATAATAGTATTTACTCCAGTCAAGACTTGAAGACAACTACTCGACAAGAGGCTGAGTTGTTTGGGATGAGTGCCGTCCATGGCACTGGTGTTCACCTTGAACTTGGATGATATGCGTCGAAGTAATTATGGTCGTACTCGTGGTGGTACTCGAGCTGGGGCTTCTATGGTCAAGCTCTAGAACGATTGTGCATCCCAAGCTTTGGTCCACGCTGCCACCGGCTGCTCCAGAATTCCATCCAGTGATGCCGTTCTGTTTTCATCACCCCGAATGTACATCTCCTCCTGATAAAGGGGCTTTGAGCTTAGTATACCGATGTGCTTGACTGCTGCCTCCATCGAGAGCCCCCTCACACCAAGACTTCAGTCGCTGAGCTTCTGCTTCTTCGCCGTGCTGACCTCGTTCCTCTCAACTATCGTGAGCATCTGACGCCATGCGTCAAAGCCAGCAACAAGGCCATCATCCTGACCGGTTGCTCTCGAAATCCTCAAACGCAAATGTTGCAATATGCCCTGCCAGCCTTCACCAGCAAAGCCAAGATGCTTACGGAGAGGCCCTCCACGCTGTTCAATACGCCGCGTAGCGTTCACCAGTTTCCAGAAATACTCGGGACGACCACCTGACTGGACCTTCCTGAATTGGGATCGTAATTCCTGGAGTCTCATTCGCAGCCAAGGTAAGGCCACAGCAGGCAGTCTCCTCAAACTTTGCTTGGTGGCTAAGCTGATTCTCTGGGGCCGTTTTTGCACCTTGAGTGGGGCCCCTCCCACCCTCAGGTGGGAGGGGGGATCGACGTTCGTTTCCTGCTGCAGCTCCACCCAAGCTTTCTCAGCTCATTCCTGGTAACCTCGTCCAGTATTTGTTGTCCTTGAATCTTCTGATCACCCAAGAGCATGCGGAAACCCTAGTCGCCCTCATACCGTCCCAAGAACTCATCTACTCGAGCATTAAGTCGGTCATAACTCGGAGGTTCCAAAGCGGGTCCTTGGAAATAGTCCAGATTGCTAGATCCCTCTCTCCCGTCGAACACGTGTGAGTGGGCCTCGACATCGAACCTGAAGGCCCCCTGCATGATACCCATGTGGAGGCCTTCTCGGAGTTCACCTTGTTCCAGATTCCAGTCCCTTCCTGCTAGAAACGGGATTCCTTGTCCTAGAACATGTTGGCCAAACAAATCTAGTATCTCCACGTTGACACCTGTATTTTTTATGCTATCCTGCACACGAATGGGGTACAAACTGACTATGCCGAGCTCCGCTGTGCGCAAAAACCAGTGTGCAAGATGCTGCTCTCTCAAAGAGGCACCACTTCGCGATGTCCATGCGTCTAGATAGTGTCGAACAAGGATGCAGGCTCCACCACATCAATTCCCTTGTTCGCTCACACCTAGTCCTGACCAGAAAGAACGCCAGCCACACTGCAGCATCCACTGTCCCGAGCTGACCTGACGTGTTCTGGGTAGCTTGTGCTCTTGAGTGAGCGCAACATCCGCGGTGCAGGGCACGACCCAATCGTCAGCTGTTCTCCAACAATTTCCACTGCAAGTCACGAGCCGGAGGGACTTTCCTGCACTGGGTGACTTGACCTTGCTGCCCGGAAGACCTTGGGGAGTCGGGAGCTGGGGACCCAGGAGCTGCACAACAATCATCAGGATCGTCCCACTTCGCGCCTCCAGGGCGGATGCAACGAAGGCCTTGGCACGACGGGTCGCAACTTTCTCGAACGCACTCGCGAGATCTCGCTTCTGAGCTTCTGTGATCCCTGCTGCAGTGAATGCCTCCAACAGTTCCTGATCGTCCACCTGCATGGCACTCCCTGCTGACTCTCCTGCTTCAGGGGCTCCTCCTCCTCCAGTTCCCAGACGGACAGGGCGGTCGGCGGGAGGGGCTGGTCGATCTGGGACACGGGCACGCGCAGCTTCAAACTCGGACAGAAGCTCGGCCTGCACCGTCTGATCCGAGATGTCGGGGACGTGCGCTGCCGAGGAATCGAGGAGGGTACGCACAGGGGTCGGCGAAGGCCCAGGGCACCGTGGAGGAGACGGCCAGCTCCGCCGCCTCCCCCGCCTCCTCCAGCTCCTGCTCCCTCTCCCCCAGCTCCTGCCGCAGCTCCTCCTGCTCGTCCTGCATATCCTCCACCTGCACAGCAAGCTGGCGCCGTCGAGCTCGGACGTCTCCAGTTATCCTCCCACGTCGGGCAGTGTCCTGCTCAAGTTTCTCGAGGGGGCTTGGAAGTGGGGACTGGCTGCTGCTTCTCCTGCTGATGAGACTGCCCATCTGAAGCCAACGCTGAGGCCTCCTCCTTTGAGAACGGATTGTTCTTCCCTGGGATACCTGAAACATCTTGTGGAGTTCGTTGTGAGGGGTGAGCTTGTCATCTTCGCGCCTTGTCGGGGGAACACGACCTGGACGTCCCAGTTCCTCACCTCCGACTTTTCCTCCATGAGGCCCTTGACCTACCCATACTCCTCCACGTACTTTACCTTTCCCACCTTTGCCGCCCTTCCCACCTTCGCAGTCTTTACTTCCGCTGTCTCCTCCTCCTGCCATCTCCTGGACCCTGAAACGCCCATGACTGACGTGTCCAGGCCCCTCTGGAGGGGAGTGCTTCTTGCGGGGGCAGCTCTGGGAAGATCGGTGCCGCCGTGGCAGCGAGATTTGAGCCCAACAGGCTTGCGCTCGCAAGCAGACGCACCGCGTGCCGGACCCACGGCGCAGCCACCGCCCGACACGAGGGGGGCCCGAGACACCGCGGGGAGCGTGCGCTTCGCCCGCCTGCCGATGGGCTGGAACGGGATGGCATGCGCGTCGGGCGCCCCCTCGGTGGTCTGTCGGACGGCGGCGGGAAGCCTCCAAGCTCGAGCCCCCGCGACACGGGGTTCGAACTTGAGCTGCAATGGCTGCGGAGGAGAGCGTCATCTCCTCCTCCTCCTCCTCCTCCTCCTCCTCCTCCTCCTCCTCCTCGTGTCCTCCTCCTCCTCTCCCCCTCGCTGAGGACGCCGTCCACCTCCCAGTCGGTTGATCAGCATGTGGGGGGGTGGGTCGCTTGAGGAGGAGCGCAACAGGTGTTTACTCGATATGCTGGCGCCATTCCGCCGACCCCCTGAAGAGGCGATGTGCGGCTTCCGATTTCGTGCAAGTAGTTGTTCTTTGCCGCCTCCCGTGGAGCTCTCTACGTGGCGTTGTTGCTTGTGTGATTCTCTTCCTCCACGTTCGTTGCCATGCTTTTGTGGGCTTCTGAGGCCCCCTGGGTGCTTCTGGTGGGCCCTTTGGGGGCATGTTTGGGGGAGGGATCCCGGGCCCACTGCGAGTTCCCCCTCTATCGGGCCTCTCTTGGGGCCCTTTGGGGGCGTCGTGGGCCGCCAGGGGCTGTCAGAAGCCCGCCCCCTGCGTCGCCCCCCCTGGGCGCGCCTCCGATGTTGAGCAGTGTGGAGTCTTTCCCCACAGTTATTTTGGCGGCCCGAGAGACGGGATCGCCACTTTGCCCTCGTCGCAGATGCTCCCTGCTTCCTCCCTCCTTCCCACTGCCCCCTTCCTCCTCCTTCCCCTGCCTCTCGCCCCCCTCGGTCTCTTCCTCGTCCCCTTGGTGGCGCTTTACGGGACTTTGTCGGTTTTCATTGTTTAGAACATGAGTGTCTTGCGCGAACTGTCCAGTTTTGCGGGGCCTGCTTTGATCTGCCGTTGGCTTCGATTCTCGGCATGGCGGAGCGGGTGTCCTGCATCGGATGCTGGCTAAGACTAGTATCCGTCACCAGAATCCTCGTTCTCTTCGTCGTTGTCCTTCCCTCCTCTCTTCCCCCCTGCGCCGAGGACGGCCCTTTCTCGCCATCGTCGGCGTCTTTCTTCTTACTCCTTCTTCTCAGTATTCTTGCTATTTTTTGTTGGTTCGTATTATTCCAGTCTCATTTTTGATTGCTATTCGTATTACTCGTACTTTCATAATTGTCCTCCTTGCCTTCAGTTTTATTGTTCAGTCTGATTGTGTTTATCGTCCTTATTCTTAGTCATTCGTATTGTTATTATGATTCCTTTATTTGTCAACAGTATTATGATTCGTATTACTCTTAGTCTTGTTGTTATTATTCGGATTCTCATTATCAGTACTCGTATTAGTTGGATTTGTTTTCGTATTCTGATTTTTGTTATATTCTTATACTTATTCTATTTCTTCTTCTGATTATTAGTATTATTCGAATTTTAATTATGGTTCTTATTATCATTCATCGTCGTTGCCGTTGTCGACGTCGTCGTCGTCGACGTCCTTCCCCTCCTTCCCTCCCGCCCTCCTCCTTCCCCTCCCTGCCTCCCTCCTCGCCGTCGTCGTCGTCCTTCCCTATTCTTCTTCGTCGTCGTCCCGAGGGCCCGAACGGTGTGGTGACCACTCCATGCGGTGAGTCAGTGGGGATTCGGGGGTCACCGTTCTGTTTTGGGACCCCGGTCGTTCTCCAGGGATGTCTCGGGCGACTGGGACCTCCAGGATCCCAAAACCGTGCGGTGACGGGCTGTGCGATGAGGTCTTTCGGGGTTTCGAGGTCACCGCGCGGCTTGTCACCGCGCGGTTCTGGGACCCCTGAGTCCTCGTCCTCTTCGTCGTCGTTGTCGTCGTCGTCGTCTTTCCCTCACCCCTCACCTCGCCCCTCACCTCCCCTCCTCGCTTCCTCCCTGCGCCGAGGACGGCCCCTTCTCGCCGCCGTCCGCCCCGCTGGTCCGCCGGGTCAGCGACCCGAGGCTGCCCAGCCGGCAGGTCAGCCCCGCCTCCGACCGGCAGGTCAGCCCCGCCTCCGACCAGCAGGTCGAGATGAGGACGAACGTGCCACTGTGAGACCGAGGGGGGAGACGGCCTC